ATGATTTTTTGAAGATGGACGATACTGCTGTTTGCAGCATACTTAATGACGATAGGCCATTGAGTATACTGCAAACAAGGGGTAGGAAAGCACTTCCCTTCCATTTCCTTTTCCTCATTTCCTTTGTGCGTCAAACTTCATATAATCTCGACTGCAAGAGAAAAAGAGCAGAGCGCCGCATCCATTTATAATAACGTACAATTTGTCAGTTCGATGTCGAATAGAACCAGCTGAATGGATACGATATACAGCTGCATGTAAGCAATCCAGATATAGTTGTAGTACTCATAATAAAGAAATTAGGGTTTTGCGCGTGATCGTAAGTGTCGTTAAGTTCGACTGCGGCTAATCACGCAGTACGCCACAGAATCTTAACTTCTTTCTTCTCTCGGACGCTTGCTCTTCTTTCTCGTATAAGAAGAAATTCTGTCAAAGGATGTTAGCGTTTTATCCTTGAAAACGAGAAGGCAGCGGTGGTGATCCTGCGTGTTCGAAGATAGGCTTGGGCAGAACTTAGTGCACTTCTTCACTTACTTGAGTTTATGTTTCCCGCTGGTTCCGAAAATGCAGCTTTTAGAGCGCGAAAATGTGAATTTGCTTCTCCCGAAGTCCCTTATTGCATTAAGTCTATGTGGAGCCCGTCAAGTGTCGGATGAAACGGAGGAGCTTTACGTGACCCAGTCATAATTGTGTGTGTTATGATCTTCAATATTAGACCAAGTTATCCTGCACTTCAAATCGTAGGCGGGCTTGGATGGGGGTCCGCTCACGAAACGGCGTCCACGGCAGAATTTTTGAAGCGGTTTTCTCGCCTCAGTGGCAGAAGTTCAGGAGCAACTTGAGCGACAGATTTATTATGACGGATGTTACCGTGTGTCTCTCCCTAACGTCATAATTGCCCGTACGTTCATTTTGTAGGCACCGCCCACCCAAATTGAGGTGGGCGGTGTTGCTATTTATATTTTATTGCTATTATACAGTGACCGCCAAAAAGTTGCGGGCAAGTCGCCCTCCTGTTTTCAGCGCTCATTTTCAGATGGAAAACAAAGATGAAAAAATGAATGGATTGCATGCATGATACAGCTCATCAAGAGCTACAACCCACACATTGTCCTTTCCGGAAAACATGTATTATGAAAATTTCAAAAATCTTTTTCTAAAATAACTCCGAAAATGGCCGCGTCACAATGTCGCGGACATTAATTCTTCGAACGCGGAAAATTTCTTTTAGGTCTTATCTTGGAGTAAAAACAGAAGTTTTCCGGACAGGTAAGCGTACTATATTGTAAAGCTCATTGAGGACAATAACCGGGTAGTGGTTACTTCCAAAAAAATCCCTTCAAGCTTGAAGTTTACTTTGCTTTCTTCCAAAAAATAACTTTTAAATCCCTTTTGCAAGCCAAATTTCTTCACATGGGAACCTATTCGAGACATCCCAACAAAGCTATTCGGATAAAACGGATGCACTTTGCCATTTTCTACGCATTGGACGTGTGCTGGTGAGTTTCTTGGCTGAAAATGGCTCTTGACAGTGCGTGCACATGACTCCACCTGCACCTCACCACTGACTTGCACCGCTTCACAGGCTTGTAGCTCAGCCGGAACCATTCTACGAGCCTGTACATAGGCTCATTCGAAAGAGCGTGACTTCCTAGACATGAAGGTTTGCAAAATAGTTGAGCTTGAGTAATCCTGGAAATTCTGCGGATGGGGTGGTAAAGCGCAGCTTCAGTAGTAGGCTAAGAATTTATCAGGTGTTGAGCAAGACTCTTTTCTCCGCCAGTTCCATCCTGGAATTTCAAAACTGTCAATTTTCTTGTAGATCCATATCGGAGCTCTAAGACTGTTCTAGTGTTGATACACTGTCAGGAGCCATTTTCACCCAAGAAACTCACCAGCACATGTCCGATGCGTAGAGGATGGCAAAGAGCCCGTTTTATCCGAATATGTAGCTTTGTTGGGATGTCTCGAATAGGTTCCCATGTGAAGAAATTTGGCTTGAAAAAGGAGTTTAGAAGTTATTTTTTGGAAAAAGCAAAATAAAATTCAAGCTTGGGTTTTTTGGGTCTCAAATGAGCTCTACAATATATTAGGTTGTCCCGAAAGTTTTGTCGGTTTTTTCAGACCACTGTAGAACCACGCACAATAAAGACCTGAGTGAGTTTCAACATGCATTCGATGCAGCTTTTCTTTCTCTTTCTTATGGATGCACTTTCATACCATAATGTTATATGCTTCCTTTGGTAACTGCCGAAATTCTCCACCTGTCAATTTTACCTGCTCAAAGTTGAGCTAATTTTTAAAAATTTCGTTACAGAGTTTCGAAAAAGATCAAGTATGGGTCAAATAGAGCGACTCTCGGGCTGCAAGAGAGTATTTTTAGATTCTTCTAATTTGCTGATTTTAACTTCAAAAAATATTTCTTCTGAGGTCTCGATTTTTGGCTAAGTTATGAAACGCGCAATTGCAGCAAAATCATGGAAGTTTTTGAAGTTTTTGCGAATTCAAACTTGATTGTTATTAAACATCATTTATGCAACATAACCAAGTTTGATTTGCTTCAAAAATCAGCTTTTTGGAATTTTCGGTAAATTTACGTGGTAAAACGTGTTCAAAAAGCCGCGGTTTTTCTCAAATAAATAATTATCACGGACTTGATAAACGTGGCTCATGTAATCTAAAATAGCCACAATGTAGCAAAGGTTTGCCCTACATAACAGTCGCCAGCGCTCGTCGAAAATATCAAGATAAAAATTTTGAAAATTCAGGAAAGTTTTGGCGTTACTGCTGGGGTGCTCAAAAAGCCATAGCGATAACATCGCAAAGACGGGGTAGATCAGGGAATAAATATAGCTATAAGAAAGAGGATAAAAACACGAGTAGATTGACACCTAGGCCGTTCATGGAATGGTGTTCTGTGAGGTTTGGTGAGCGATGAAAAAAACCGACAAAACTTTTGGGACAACCTAATAGTATGCTTACCTGTCCGGAAAAATTCTTTTTTGTCCCAAGAAAAGACCTAGAAGAATTTATTTGCGTTCGAAGAATTATTGTCCACGTCATTGTGACGCGGCCTTCTTTAATCTATTTTAGAAAAAGACTTTTAAAATTTTCATAATACATGTTTATGGAAAGGGCAATGTGTGGGTTGTAGCTCTTGATGAGCTCTATCAATGCATGCAATCCATTCATTTTTTCATCTTTGTTTTCCATCTGAAAGTAAGCGCTGAAAACAGTAGGGCGACTTGTCCGCAACCTTTTGGCGGTCATTGTATATTCCCTATTTTCCGCTTATAAGCCGCACCCACCGCAGCAAACAATGGCGCGAAAACGACCTCAAAGGTTTTTAAACGAACAAACTAAAACGCGGTGCAATTTCTGACTGTTCCTTGCTGCGCGTGTTCATGTCTTCAAGTATTTCTTTACTCCTTTTAGAAATTCGGACGGTTTTGCGGATGTGGGTTGTATTTTCTTTTTTCAAATGTACAATGAAGTTGACGGCGCTCTCTTTTGTTTTGTTTTCTTTGGTGTTTACTGGTGTTGCTAATACTTTGTTTAGTGATACTTTACTTGTTTACTGGTACTGCTGATACTTTAACAGCGCTTTCAATGCATTTGCAACAAAATACGAAAGCGGAATGTTATCAGGCTAGGTAAAAAAGAAGCAATTGGCTGCTTGTGCGGCTTCGCGCATCGCGACCTTCTTCGCACATTAGCCTGCACGCGATGAAAGTGATTGCGGCTTATACGCCGGAAAATAGGGTAGTCGCGGGCTTTTTACTAAGCAATTTCCCAAGTTCTGCTACGAAGGATGAACTCTGAAACGAGAAAATCGTTCCAAAGTTCCATTGGGTATTCCGAAGATAGTGAATTCGATAGTGAATGATAGCTTCAGGGTAGGTGGAATTGAAGAAAATTTGATAACCATAAAAGAGGGCAATTCATGACAATTCTAGACACATAAACTCGAATTCAAAGTTGTTGATTTGTAACAACCCACTTTAATCGGCGGAGTCATCTTGGCGCTTGTACCTTCTGGATTTTTAATTTCGATTCATCATTTGATGTGGGAATTACGCAATTACTTACTTAGGGGCTACGCTATCGTAAAGCATCAAAATCTCCGATCCTTCAATTGAATGAAGGTACTCTAAGTAATTAAGAGCTTCCGACGTACTGCCAGAAGAAAACTGGCCCGCAAAAAAGGGTCTCTAGGGCCGAGCTAAAATCATTCTCTCAATTCAGAACCGAAATCGTGCTATACAACTTAAACCAGATCTTCGATAAAATGGGCATCATGTACTTATATCGTGTCATCGTTCTTGCTTGTCTGCCTTTGAGTTGTTAAGGGTCTCGTGACTTACGGCGTGAGCACATCCAATGTGCGGACATCCTTGCTTCTACAGTTGATTATTTTTATACCCTAACTAGGGTGCTGATGTAACGGAAAAAATCTAGACTCTACTAAATAAATTTGTCGGTTTTTGAGCACTCTTTGAGGGTGAATTAATGCAAGTTGCATCACCAACAAAACTCAGGAGAAAAAGTTTTTAACGCAGTAAGTTGCAATTTTCCCTGCACTTATCATGTAAACACTGTGCACTAAAACAGAGCTGTTGAAGCTTCTGCGCAAATTCGCATACTTTGATGAAGTCTTTTGTAGTTAGGTAATAGACTAAGAGGCATGATGTATGTGTTGATGTATTAGAATGTCATTGATCAACTTACATGAAAACCAACGGCAAGCAGATTGCAAAACGCCCAGTTTGAAAAAGTTGCTACAAGCCAGCGTCTGGAAAAAATGTGACTTATCAATTTTCGCATTTAAAAGCCTCAATTTCCTCTGAATCAGAAACCTAAAAAAATAGAACGATGATGCTGAATACACAGTCATTGTCAAGCATTTGAGATTGCTATCCCAACGAAGAACTATTCATATTTGCTGCAACTGCAGCAGTCAAAGCGCACTGACATCAACGGTTGGTACAAGAGCTCCCCTCATGTACAGTTTGAATAGCAGCACTTCGTCGTCTACAGTTCTTACTCTCTTCGTTGTCATTGGTGTAAGTTCATGAAAACGTTTTATAGATATTCGTTCGTAGCTTTGTCCATATTTGTTTGCCGTTCCTTATGCGCAGTGAAAGAACTTCTTCAGTGTTTTGTTGCCTCATCTCCTGATGGCCATAATCCTCACCGCTTAAATGAAGAGTCCAACAAGAAATTTTCGAAGGATCGTAGGCAACAACGTATCGAAGAAACGGAAAAACTCGTTCTAAAAAAGCTCCTTAGTAAACCCAAAAGAAAGGTAGAACGGTCAACGTTTGTAAACCAATTTCACGAAGTCGTTCAGATAGATGAGTTTTGCAGTGAACTTGACGGGACCTGCTTTATTATTACCGATAAGATTCTAAGATATGGCAATATGTAAAGCTCCTTCATTGCATCCGAGTCTAATCCCTTATTGGAACAAATTCAGGCCATTCGCGTACAGGGATATGGGGTGGAAATGGCCGGAAAATGTCCTGTCACTATCGCGAACGAGGCTTCAACCTTATTCACGTAAATTCATAAGTCATAATCTCATCTCATACCACGTAGCTGAATGGTTTAGCTCTCAACTGGAAGAATTTTAACTCTAGGACGTGGGGTATTAGGAAGGACGATGTTCTATTGACTTATGCTCGACTTATGATTGCTGGAGCATTTCTGAGTGGAGGACTAGAGCTCAATACCACAAGAAAACAGGATGTACTGATCATCGGGCTTGGAGGAGGAGTTATCAACAATTATTTCTCACAAATGGAAGATCAAGTGGTAAGGCGTTTTGGTTGTCGCATCTGTATCTGTGCATTCAGCTGAACGTCACCGTTGTCGAAATTGATCCTGTGATGAAGAAAGTAGCCATAAAATGGTTTGGATTCGTGGAATCGCCTTTGCATAGAATTGTTGTGGATGATGGAGTGAGATACATTCATGATGCTGCTAAAAGAGGTTTATTGCGCAGCTTTTTTGGCCCTACCACGTCGCTGCATTCAGGAGAAAAGTATGATGCACTTATCATTGACGTAAGCTACAACATGCCCTTACCCATGATCGCACCAATAAAAGAGTTCTTGGAAGACGATTTAATTGTTTCTATGAGAACAATAACGACAGGCAACGTGATCCATATCTTCTCCCAAAGAATTTATTCTATGCATTTATACTTCTAGGCGGGGTCATTGTAAACATAGTCACTAGGCGAGGCCATAGTCAAGAGGCCGGCAAGGTGGGCGCTGTCTTATATGTGCAACATATTTTGAGAATTTACTATTTCTTAAGGCACTCTTTCGATATTCTCGTCATTTTCCCTCGTGCTACTTTATGAATTATCAGAAAAATAAGGTAGTCAATGTATTTTATGGTTTTCAGTGACAACTATCTAATCCCGCTTCAGATGCTGTTCTGTTCAACCAAAGACAACAACCTATACTCAAACAATACAGATGAAGTTTTTCGCGACAGCTTCATGACTGTGGATAATGCTCTTGGATTTCGGCTGTTTTCAAAAGTTTATCCTTCTTTGGATTGAGTAGTAATAAAGCTTCTTACAAGGGAAGTTCGTTGGGTCAAAGTGGCGATTTGGAAGTTGGTATATACCAATGGATAGAACGTAAAAGGCGTTTTAAAATGTTCAATATCTGCGATGCGTTTTTCTAGATGGAGTTATGGGCTTTTTGGTGTATATAATGAAAGTGTGATCTAGAAAGGAAATGACGACCTGTGGATAAACAATGCTCAAAAAACACTTGAAAAAGTTCCGATAAACTCAGTTCAGACATATAAGACATCAGACATGCTTATTAGGTGGTTTGCTTGAGCTTGCACACTTTTGTGTGGAAATTATCATGATTTCGCGATCCAAAGCGATCGAAGATTTTGCATTAGAAAAGAATTTTTAAACTCATTAGAACTTTTAGAACTCATTCATTTCAGGACAATGCATCGCAGATATAGAAGGTATATCTGAAATTAGCGTTTTCAGCTCTATCCATTGATATAGATCACCTTCCGAATCGCCACTTCGATTAAGCGAACTTTCTTTGTTAGCTGAAAAACATATAGAAGCTTGTTATAGAGCTAGTTTGCCGATATTTATGGATAATTCTGACGATGTATTCGTAAGGAACGCTGGTACTCACATAATTTTGCGTAAGCGTGTGTTCTGTACACTGAGTGGTTGCTGGCAATATGAGGTCGATCTGGATTAGCGCTCAAAACCTACACTGAACAAGAGCACCCATGCAGAATGGATTTGTGTGGCCATGTGATCTCGTAAAGGTTGAGTCTCTGCCACCTTTGTACTCGCTTAAAGTTGTGGAAGGCTGAGCAGAAAATATCCAAGTACTAAGAAAGTGAATTAACCACATACTGTATGGCGCAACTTGGCTGAAGGACCTTTAGCCGAACTTGTCGCCGCATTGGAGTAGTCTGTTCGAAAGTTCGTCCTCTTTCCCACAGTGATGCTTTTGTCCGGATTCCGTGTCCGGATGTTCGCTTGAAAAGTCGTCGAACCTCCAACTAATGGTTTTTACCTACTCTTACTTTTGCTTTCTTTGTATTTACTACTGGGCTTTCGGAAATGCTTCAATGCAAAATGCTTCAGTTAAATAGAGTAAACAAAACGCAATGTAACACTTTGGCATCGATAGCTGGCTGAATATTCTACAACTATTATATTGATGCTACCAAATTTGATAATTTGTTATATCAACCTCAAAATCAATAGCGAACAGCTAGGTTGTTATTCGATGCACTTTTCTTCCTTTTACTTTTTGGTGTGTGTGTTGTGTGTGTATGTGTGTGTGTTGTGTGTGTTGTGTGTGTTGTTGTGTGTTGTGTGTGTTGTGTGTGTTTTGTGTGTATTGTGTGTGTTGTGTGTGTTGTGAGTGTTGTGTGTGTTGTGTGTGTTGTGTGTGTTGTGTGTTGCATGTGTTGTGTGTGTGGTTTGTGGGTGTGTTTGCCGAAAAACTATGCGAAAAGTCTGCTTTTACGCAGTATCGGCGCCAAAAAAAGAATAACTGCGTACATAGTCAAATTGTCAAGATTTTACCTGAAAACTTAGAAGATATTTGCTCGCAGATGTAACTTACGATTGTTGTCAACCATATGCGTTTATCAAGCCATAATGCTCCAGTATCTAATATGTAATTCAAATTTCGCATAATGTCTTATGGAGAAACCTTTTTATTACTTAAAGTCACCGATCTTACGTGAAAAAGCTTTTCGAATGAATAGTTGTTTACATGTCTCAATACCAGTTCTCGGATTTTATGCTTTCTTGACCATCACCAAACCAACTGGGTTGGTTCGAGCATATACTACGGAGGGTTCGCTCAATTTTTGACCCTTTTCGGCTTGGACTATATGACTCGAAAATCTTCAGAATCTCAAAATACTATATGTGGTTTCACGAAAATTTGGTTACTCATGGCCATTTCTTCCAATCTATAAACTATCTAACAAATCATTACCTTGTTGAGAAACGGTGTATGGGCAGGCAACTACAACTAACCCAGACCACACATTTGATCGTTGGAATTTCTTTCGATGTCACCGATGGGCTGAGAGAGCTTTCAAAAAATAAAGAACCCACTATTGTTACTGTGGGTTGAGGTAAGATCTTCGACAGTTTTGCAATTGTGGGATTTTATTTCCAAAACGGAAACATGTATATTGGGCTTAGCCTACTAAATCTTTCAAAAAACCTTTGCAATGTCCAGCCCATTTTGAGAAACTGGATTGCTTATGTGGGAAAATATTCGAGATGTGTTGACCACATAGTTAACGAAGCTCTCGAAAATCTATTCGTCACAAAGCGATATAATTTCTCTTCCACAACCATATTTTAAAAAGATGTTTTCAGCTCTAGAAGGAGCACGGACTGGCCGAGGCTTTAGGCTTCATTTCCCACCCACGAATAGAATGAGCTGCCTCACGCAGGTATAGCTTTGAGCTTTTCCAGATGTCCTCATGAAAGGCAAGGAAGCCCACATGTGAACACTGCCTTCAATGGCATAAGACCCAACCTAAAGCTTAAGTATTTGCTCGTTAGAGTAAAATTTTGCTCACCATCCACTATGACTGTTGATGAGAACATCAGCCTCTGTAAACCTTCAGTTACAGCTGCATTGTGCATTAACTCGAAAAAAAAAGTCTCATTCCAGAGTACGAGCCGAAAATAGCCTCTCAGGCACTTCTCTTGCAAATCTCTATCGTATTCCTAAGTCATGAAAAGTGACAATAAAACATGGGCGGTCGTTTTATACTGATGTAACACAAAGTCAGCTTTCAAGGTGTGCTTTCGGAGTCGAAGAGAATCTGCGACAACAAACAGAGCGTAGTGTCTTCATGTGTACTTAGCACTACTGTCGAGATGCTGTAGCTCCGGGAAATGAAACTACTCCATACAAAGCATTCCAAGTTCGGCTGTTTCTGAATCTTGGCATGGCAAATATTCGTGTGTAATATTGTTTCAGCGAGACCAAGATTTGCATCAATTCTTTATTGGCTAACGTTTCGACGATTTCGCCTTCGTCAGAGCCTTTGACTTCTGCACAGCGCGATGGCCTATGCAAATTATGCGATCTGCGAGACGCTGAGAAAACTAAGATATCTGTAAGTGATAAGAGTGGAGACTTTGTCATCATCTCACGCGAAATGGATAGAGCGATAACAAAATGTCATCTAGAAGACAGTGATGTATATGTACCCTCTTCTGTTGATGAATTCAAAAGACGATATCGCCGCCCAAACAGGGTGTGGCTAGAGACCGATCGTTCAGTTGGGCTAACTAAAAATATCACTAAGCGTCTCAAAAACGATCTGTCTACCTGTCCTGTTTTCTATACCCTAGTCAAAACACACAAAGCGCCCTCAGCAGGACTAACATCAGTTGAGCCACGCGAATTCGAAGTACGGCCAATCATTACAATCATAGGGGGGCCAACCGATAGAATCGCATGGCTTCTTGACGTAATCTTGGTGCAATTACTGAAATATGTCCCTGCCCATCTTACCAATACCAATATGCTCCTCGAACGTCTTCGCACGTCACAGTTTAGCCGCAATTGCGTTATAGAATCGCTGGATGTCACATCGTTATACACAAATGTTTCAAACGATGCTGCAATACGGGCAACCTGTGAGCTACTAATTGAGCATCAGTCCCTCGCTAAACTTGTACGGATTGAACATAACGGCCATAATGTCTCTCTTAAATGCGTGCCTACAATGCACCGTATTTAAATGGTCCGGACAATACTTTAAACAAGTTCGAGGCTTAGCGATGGGGCTGCGCCTGGCGCCAACTCTTGCAATTGTGTTCATGTCCAAGATAGAGGCACCAGTACTAGAACGATGCCCACTTTTTTATTGTAAACGAGCAGGCATCCCGGGTTTCACTCCGGTTTGTAGCCTATCTATCAATCTAAACTCCCCATCCTCCCACCTGCACCCCTGCACACCCAGCACATCCTCCACATCCCTGCACATCCTGCACACCCTGTACATCCTGCACACCCTGCACAACCTGCACGTGCGGTTGCGTACAAACAAACTCACAGATCTGCTTTATATATATAGAGATATATCGATGATTGTTGTATAGTATGTTCCACCCAAGCAGAATTGGATGCTTGTTTCGATAATCTCAATCAGCAGTGCCCCAGCATCGATTCACGCTAGAAAAGCCCAACAAGAATTGGTTAGCGTACCTTAATGTAGAAATCCACCTAACAAATGGAGAATACAAGACTAAGTGGTACCGAAAACCCAGTAGCAAAAACATATTAATACGCAACTTATCCGCTCACCCAAGAAAAATGAAGAAAGCAGTGATAAGTGAAATGTATAGAACAGCTGTCGAGTATCATCTAGTCGTGAGGAGCGCTCGCATTCTATCGCTATGCGACTAAAATTGCGAAGATGAATGGCTACTCAGGCGAAAAATTTGCGAAGGCGCGTGGATTTGATCATCATCGCCCAATCGAAAAGACGACGATAAGATGGCGTTTTGTCTGCCATACGTTTCTGACGAATTCAGTAGCGTGCATCGTTGCTTGAAAGGAGCCGACCTAGCAAATGCTGTCAAAGTGATCGATATACCGCCTAGCAATCTTGAGAAACGCTCGATACGAAATCGCATATACGATAGCACGTGCTTGACCCAAGATTGCATGGTATGCCCACTCAGCAAAGAGGGTGATTATATGATTTCAGGAGTAGTTTATATCATCACATGCCCATCATGCGGTGATATTTACATTGGTGAAATTGGGCGCCCTCTTTGCTGCCGTGTAAAAGAACACTTAGACGGGCTACGAAAATCTAAGTCGAACACGCCTCTGGGCTCCCACCGCATGACACGACACGACAATGTAACGTTCCAAATTGGAGTAAAGATCTTATCGTTCGAGCCTGATACCTCAGCGCGCAAAACTTTGGAGGTGTTTTGGATAAACCCAAAAAACCCAAAAATGAACGCTAAGGAAGAGTGCATTGCCATCACGCAAGAACTATCATGCTATCAGTCCATATGCGGATTTGATACGGAGTCAGCTTATATAAAGAGAGCGGAGGAATGCTCTTGTTTAAACGTGTTCATTTCGGCCCTCGAGCTGTCTTCCGAGGTTGGTATCAATTACCGTAGTCCACGTTGTTAGTCTGTCTCGATCGTATGTTGGGCTGACTCTTTATTGGCATCTGAGTGAAGGAATTCCTTGAACTTCGATTCTACAGGCTCTGACGAAGGCGAAATCGCCGAAACGTTAGCCAATAAAAAATTGATGCAAATCTTGGTCTCGCTGAAACAATATTGCACATGAAACTACTTCATTTTCGCGGCCTAGTTGAACTTCAGCATTTTTCATTAATCTAGTATGCCAGTTGACTAGACAGAAAATTTTCATAAAACAGTATGATTCCAGTACCAGAGTTTTCTTCCTGAAAATTTCACTTGTTGGAACCTAAGTAGCTTACGCATATGGCCGTGGCCAGAGGAATCTGGAAAGATTCCTTTACTGACAAAAATCAAACTTGAGGAGTTGATTTATAACAATATCTTAAAATTCGAGAAGTTTAGTTTGACTTTATCATTGCAACTTATCCATTCTAATCGTTTAACGAGGTGGAGAGCAAGAGGAACAATAGCTGGTGGGTCAGTAACTTGCGCGTACTGCAGCGCCATTTTTGTCCATCTGCACACAGAAATTTAGAACATTTCCTTCTTTTATGCTTTCATTCAGACAGGAGAACCGTATAGATTGTGTTTGCTTGAAAATGGGGTGTGAAAATCAGCTGAAAATTCAAAAAAAAGGTCTCAAAGGTGAAATTTCAAGTATTTAAAGCTTATTCCTGCAAGAACATCACCAAATTGCAGATACCACCGGGATTCAGGCAAGACTTATCGAGTAAGTTGAGTAGAGCATTAACTTCATATCTACTATTTTTTATTTCGCAATTTGCAATTTGTGAAGGCAGATAGTGCATTGACACCCGCGGCTGGCAATTGCTATCGTTCCGCTTGCATCACACCCGTTTAACTCTCAGATATTCTGGAAACGATGTGGCTTTGTCCAATGACATCGATTTTTGATTCGATGATATAGTGCAGGAAGTTTGAAATGAATAATTAGCTTTGTCCAAAGAAAACGGAACAATCATTCATGGAATAAATAGAAGTCTTGTAATCGCTATGTCCATGGAAACCCTTCCCAATCTGATGTAGGCGAAGAGCAGTAGTTACAAGGAAGTTGAGAAGTGGGTGTAGGGAAATATGGGAGCAAGAGTAATTACGCACATGATTGAAGATTATAGGTAGTTTTGTGCGGAGTATTTTTAATTTGCAGGCGAGAACGATGTTATACGACAACAACAAGGATAGATTGGTAGCTCATTATGGAAGTGTTCAAATATGTAAACATTTGATTAACGTAAGCATTTTCAAACGACAGCATAGCAGATATTCCGTATTTCTTAAAAAGCCAATTTTTAGCTGTTATACCCAACCTGTAAACTTTTTATACCAAAAGTCCGTATAGCTTAGCACTGAGCCAAAGCCAAGTGTCTTAGTCTCTAAGCGAACAATGTTCCATAAACAAAAAACTATGGAACAAAATACCATCACGCTGGTCTGTGAGAAAGCTTTGCAACACCTTGATTTTCTTTGCTATCACGTCTCATTTAAAAGTGCTTTCCAGTGGCATTTTCTTTTTTCATTAAGCTTCTTCTACCCCAAAGTCCTCAAATTTTCCATTTAGACAGAGGGCTAATCCTTGTTACTTCTAGATTTCCACCGTAGTGCTAAAAAATCTGAGTTTTCCATAGTTCCCATAGCCAAAAATTTAGGCGAAAACCACTTTGTCTATTTATTGCCTCTTTTCAAGCACCCTAATCATTTTTTTATATTTGACAATCCACTATAGGATCTTTGTGAGAATAGAATGATTACACAAAGTTTGGTGACTCTAACTAGATTGTCAAAACTGGCGCGCCTACGCTGACTGCTTATTACGGCTATGATATCAAGTTAGAGAGGTCGTATCCTTTGTGTTTAGCAGTGAAAACCAAACCTATACAAAAAGTGGAAGCGACTGAGAGAGCTTTTTTTCAGCTCAAATTAATACAAGCCAAGTTCGAAAAATGTGAATCTTTCCAAATTCTTCATGTAGAGGCTTTAATTTTCTATGAATCATTTCAACAAAAAAATTGAGCGATGATGCTGAATACACAACCAGACACAATGTCAGAAATCCACACCAAGGGGACGTTGTTTACTTTGGTTAGCTCATTGCAGTGGAAGCCGCTTTGATTGTCGACAAGAGCTCTCCTCATGTACTGCTCCATTTACAACAGTTTGTCCTCTGTCATCCTCACTTTCACCTTTGTTACTGCTGTAAGTTCATGAAAACTAAAAAAAATGTAAGAAATCGACACTTGCATTTATATTGACTGAAGTCTGAAGTTTTTTTGCCATGCAATCCATAGCTTTTTAGTGTATTGTTGTCTCATCTCTTGATGATCATAATGTGGACTGCTCTAGTGAACAAGTCGATAAAAAATTTTGCAAGCAAGGTTTGAGAATAATCAGCTCAGTGTCATCAGCAGTTTATGCAAATGAGTATTTTAGCATATTCAAAAGACAAGGCTCGCAGGCAACGACGTATTGAAGAGACCGAGAACCTTATTATAAAAAAGCTCCTTAGCAAACCCAACAGAAAGGTATAAACAGTTGACTCTTGCAAAGCAAGGTTATGGAGTCGTTCAGATAGATGAGCTTTGCAGTGAACTTGACAAGACCTGCTTCATTATTATTGATAGCGTTGAGAAACATGACAACGTGTAAGTTTCCTAGTAGTTTATTAAAGTTTGTCCCGAATAGAGTACATTCAGGTTATCCGCGTTCAGAAGTTTGCGGAGAAAAGGGCCGCAGGGTGTCCTAATACTGTCGCAAGCAAGCCTTCAACCCCATTCACGTAAACTTTTACCGTCATAATAGGTTTATTTACGTATCTGACTGATTTAGCTCTCAATTGGGAGAATTTCAATTCAAAGACATGGAGTATAAAGAAAGACGATGTTCGATTGACTTATGCTCGACTTATGATTGCTGGAGCATTTTTGAGTGGAGGCCTGGAGCTCAACACCAAAAGAAAACAAGATATACTGATTATCGGACTTGGAGGAGGAATCATTAACAATTATTTTGCACAAATGGAAAATCAAGTGGTGAGGTTTTTCAGTTGATCGCACCTGAGTGTGTGTATTTAGCTAAACATCACTGTTGTCGATATTGATCCTGTGATGAAGAAAATAGCCACAAAATGGTTTGGATTCGCGGAATCGCCTTTGCATAGAATTGTTGTGGATGATGGAGTGAGATATATTCATGGTGCTGCTAAAAGAGGTTTGCTTGCGCAGGTTCATTGGCTTCCATCATGTTAATCATTTTAGGAGAAAAATATGATGTACTCATCATTGACCTATGCTACAACATACCTGTACCCATGATGTGTCCAATAATGGAATTTTTAGATGATGGCTTAATTGCTTCTATGAGAGATATCACAGCAGAAAACGGTATTTGTTATCTTCAAAGGTAGTCTCAGCAAATTTGAGTTTAGATTTTTTGCGGATTGCAGACTTTTGCTACCTTAAGTAGCCCCATGAATGCTTAAAATTGCGCGTTTCGAAAAATGCGCTTCTCTGAAGATGCGCTGCGCTTCCCTATTCTAGCATCCACTGCAGGGTTAGACTTGTCAAGAAAAAGACCGTGGTCTGTAAAGACGGAAAGAGGGAGCCGGCGAGTCCGTTAGGTCGGGCGGAGTCGCTCTATGGGGGCTACCTTGAAGCAGCCTTCTTAGTGTAGAACCGTGCCGCATAGAAATGGGCTCAGCCAGTGACCTGGTAAAAGAAAAAGTTTACGAAATTAATGAAAGTAGCCTTTGAAATTGGTGGGAGATCGCCTTCAATCAGCTTGTCTGGGTAGGGTGTTATACGTCGCCGACAGGCGACACCTTGCTCGGACAGCTTGTACAAATCTGCAGTGTTTGTAATAAGATTGTTTGCATGGTCTGTCGCAGATGTTTGCGTGCGATCGCCTCCTTTCGGCGACATATAGCTCTATCCAATTTGACTACCTCATTCTATTTAGGTGCGGTTATCGTGATCATAATCACTCAGCGGGGGTATAGCAAAGAAATTCAAGACAAGGTGAACTAAAGCAAACGGATGGTCACATCAAATTTACGATATTCTACAGGTGTATTTCATATATTCCCGTCATTTCCCCTCGTGCTATTTTATAGGTCACTCCAAAAAGGAAAAAGTAGGTTTTTTGACATTTCATAAGATTGTAATCATCGAGCGTTTACTTTAGATGCTGTTCTGTTCAGCCAAAGAGAACAATTCGTACCTGAACAATACAGATAAACGCTTTTACAATCGGTTCTTAACCGTGGATAACACTCTTGGATTTGATCTGCTTCCATAAAATCGATGTTCTTAGCTCTGAAAATTGAGTACTAGTAGTTTCTAGATCCGTAAGCCGCATCTTGCTTGCTTCGAATCGAGCAGGTCAGAGGAGCTTGCGTAGGAGGCTTTACCGTGAAGGGCTTTAACTGCGAGGATTGCGCACAGCGATGCGCACCAGTTGTTCGCGTTTAAAGATTAGGGTAAACGAGGTGGCTTATAGACCTAGAAATATGGTGATAGTAAAGGCTCTTTTTATAGATCTTCAGTAGTAGAGCCATCAAGCATTGTTAATATTTTGTGAGTTTCATGTAAAAAATAGCTTCAAATGAGTGCAAACGCATACAATTTGATTCCCGAGATCGGCGCATAAGTGACTGTTAGTTGCTTGCAATGGAAACCATTTAACTCGAAGTGACCTTCTGTTGTGTGATTAACCAGTCAGAAGGCCGCGAAAGGCTTACTTCAAAAGGTCTTCTAAATTTGAATAACGGTGAAGTGAACGATTTGGAGCGCATGTTGCTGCTTTCGGACTGCACTGCCAAATTCCTGTCCGGATAAAGCGTATCTAAGCGAGACTGCTCCAAAGCTAAATTTCTAGGTTATGAAATGTGCTCTTCGGAAAGGATCAGAAAAACGAGTGTAATTAATCAGTTTTCTCCGTATTTTAGCAAGTCACCAAACTTACAAGGGAAGGATGGTCTGTCGAAGTGGCCATTCAACATGAGATATATACTCTCTTGAATCGACTTTGAGATTTTGTGCTTATCCTTCGCTATGCTGAACACGAAAATCCACACTGGAGAGCGCGAAAACGGTGAAGAATGAGCTCCAACGGAAGAAAATCAGAATCAGAAGTATCAGAAAGAAAATCAGAAACAGAAGAATTAGAAGTAGGCGGGCTCTTCCCTACCAATTTGCGGTCCCAGTTCGCAGGAAGAAAATCAGAATCAGAAAAATCAGAAGTAGGCGGGTTATTCCCCACTGTCGATTCGCGGTCCCAGCTTCTGCGATCTTATCTATTCAACTAACCGCCCTGAAACCTCCACAAACCAAGTGCGAATGATGATTTGAAATCGGAACCGACAAGATCGCTCTGGGAGCTGAGACCATGAATTTTACGGTGGGGAAGACCTTGCACACTTTTGTTTCCCCTCTTGCCTTAGAGCTCTTTTTCACCGTTTTTTCTCTCCAGTGTAAATTTTCGGCAGCATGGCGAATAAGCAGGTAAGCAAAAAATCAAAATCGACTTTTTTCCCGGACACTTCCTTCAAAGATTCATGGAACACTGATTCCAAATGTGCATTCCTCACTGCTCCGGGCTTCAGAGCAAGGATTGAATGTTTTTGTAAGCAAAAATGTGAGTGCGGACAGGGCAAAATCGGGTGGTACAACTGGCGCAAATTTTTAGCGAAGTGGTCAACCAGTACAAGAGCCAGCACTCCTGGGGCGTTATTACTCATGCAATAAGTCATGCAGCAGCTATTTCAACCCCTCCCCCCCCCCCCTTTCCCCCCCTTTTGTTCCTACTGCCAGAATCCAGCAGCGAAGAGTTTTCGTAAAGCACAATCCTTAAGCAGGCGTTCACGGCAAAGCGGCCGCCATGCGCGGTGGCCCTCCTAAACTGCTTCATACAGCCCACACTGATCCGGAGATACTAGAACGCTCGAATCGTGCCGGAACGCTGCAGCGCCTGCAAATGGTATCATGCTTTGGAAAGTAGCAGTTCCAACCGTTTTCCAAAGATGCTCACTCTGAAATTGCTTGTTTTGGTTTCTCTTGTACCCCATTCCCTCCTATGCTGAGGCACCGTCCCTTCCACAATTGCTGCTACCCCTGATCTGCATCTCCGATCTGCGCACGCGTACCTGACACGCTGGTAACATAAAACAACTTGTTTGCAACGTGCAACAACATTTGGCAAACCTTTTCACTTCTAGCCTTGATAAGTTCTAAACACAGAGCAAGCTCTAAACTCTAGATTGAACCTATTTCATTTTATGTGTTATGTGAAACAACTTGAACCAAATTGAACTATATCTTAATCATTGCTCCAAGTTTGGCGTTTCATCAAGGCAAACAGCTATCAAGAACGAACAGGCAATCTGCATGATTCAAAGAAATGGGCTAAAACGTCTGAAAACCCAATTTCATCAAAACACAAAGTAAAATTCGGCATCTTCGATATCGTGGTGTTGTATTAGCCCCGTTTCAAAAGTGTTGACTATATCGAGTACAAAGTTACCTTATGAGATACATAAAGGGTTTCCGAAAATATATGAGGAGGACGGAGGTGAAAAAGAAGTATACAGATTTACGCAACTCAAGCTTCAGCTTTAAAACTTCTTTTAGCACAGAGGAAGCGAAGTACATTCTTTAACGAAAATCCTTGGAGACTGTCAAAAATGGCTAAATCACTCATTTACCGCATGCGGACGGCAGCGCAATTCAAGCACAGCTCCGGTGCAATGTAGTGTGTTGGAACTGCGCTGAAACTTCCAGACCAATGTGAATGCAGTCTGACTGGAGACGCAGTGACAAACTGGCACATTTGGAGTGTGGAAGTACGTGCTTTGGTGGAGGGTCTGTGCGGTACCCAGGCATAATATCCTCTGTACAAAATTGGCTTGAAAAAGCCAAAACCCCAATTCGCACCGGGCTGCTTACACTCTCGGGATTGTTACCACTTTTGCAGCGCCCTCGCTGTACTCGGTCTTTATAAGCATTCGTCCAGAAATTACATTCAATAACCAAACGCACAAATTTTGTTGAGGTCGTGCAAAAAGTTTTGTTGGCAACAAGCATGTGTATTACTGACAGTTCCTTTTATTGTCATGGCTCTTACACTGCTGAGGCACAACGGAAAAATTGGAAACAGCAATCTATATATATATATAAAACTCAATGTCTGTGAGGATGTTCGTTTAGTTGTTCGTTCGTTATAAAAACGCGCGCCACTGAACCGATCCGGCTGAAACTTCGCACACGTACGATTTTGACCCCGGCGGTGGTTTAGAGCTACTTTCCGCGGAGATTCGCTGAGCCATTCTATCGATTTATTGATTTGTTTACTCAAACCTAAGGAAATGAAGGGCCATCAATGGCAACCGATCACTTTTACATATAAGCATGTAAGCAGGGGCGGTAAAGTTCATTCTAATCTCAAGGCTGACAGGATGCAGCGGGTTCGTCTCAAAGCGCTTTTCGCGCAATGTAGAAACTAGAACATGTAAGTATGTTGGCTTCCAGATTCGTGTGGAGGCGGGCTGTGGACTTCAGTGGCTTGAAGAATAAGCTCGACGAGAAAGTACGAAATTCAATGCTTTAGCGTAGAGGTTTAACAAGTTTACCCTAAAGATCAGGGAAGTTTGCAACCCTCCTCTATACGAATGGGAGCCGATATTGATTGAACTAAGAGTCCCGGGTGAGACCGGGACTATCATCTAGTACTCTCTAAAAGGCAGTCGAATCACTTTCATAGACTTTTCCTTTGACTTCGCTTTTGTCGCGTATTTCGATATATTCTGCTGTACAAAAACCTATGTGGTGAAATCTGTACGGAAAATTGATTGCAAAATTGCAATTAATTGCATTTAATTGCAAAATTCACAATCTGCCGTATTTTCTTCAAACTTATAAATTAGGTAAAATCAAAATGGAACTTTAGGCGATACCCAAAGATTGCACGAAAGTCGTTGAGATATATGATTCTATTTCTAAACTTAGTCAATAACCAATTGTCTTTTACAGCATACTTCGCCTTTTTCCGTTTGACACAACAAACATTGTGTCGATTAGCGAAACTAACAAGCTAAGCAACTTAGCCAAAGCCAAGTTTGTCAACATAACCAAGTTTTCTAGAATGGAATAAAACATGTATTAGTATATCGCAAAAATCACTGTAAAATGAAAGCATGTCGTTTTGCTTTTTCGGATGAGTGTAAGCTAGCAAGAATGCACACAGTGGTTATGTTTAAAAATATTATCACAAAAAGGCAAAAACAATGTTTAATTCATTATCAAACAGAACTCGAATAGGTAGAAACAAGCGCAATGGAGTTTCAAGAAGCTAAATGTTAAAGCTTGGCACCCTCGATCCAGTCGTATAGCTTACATATCGAATCTGTTGCTTACCTTATGGACCTTAACGACAGCTTAGGCAAATCTAAGCGCATGTTCTTACTCTGAATAAAAAATTTTTGAGTAAAGCACTGCCCCATACAGCGATGCAAATTATTCAAGGTCAGGATATTCAGTTTTCAGCTACGCAAATCCTAGCCCAGATCGCAACCGCCAGACGACTCGACTCTTGTGACGAGTCGTGCACAAAGGCAAAAGCTGGATTTTGCGAGTACCGAGATGCGGCTTTATCCTAGCGCATAGTCTGGGATGCGATGGGAGTACTGGAGATGGTTTTTTGTCCGTATATGAGAAGTATAATTTATACTTTTACTTTATCTGGACCAATTTACCGAAAATTACCGGAATGCTATCAGCTAAGTGCTTGTCAGAGGAGAATTTACATATATTCCATCAGGAATATCTGCAAAGTTCAGAAAAAAATCAAATCGATTCACTTTGACATCTTTTTTTTTCACTTTCTGTAAGATACGAGAGCACTCTACATGACTCAATGTTTAGCTGTTTTTAAATGAAAGCGAAAATTTCAAATATCTACCAAAACATCTTCATGGCTCAGGGCGACGATTCAAAAGTATCTTCTTTTCAAAATAATCGCCAAGCGAATTCAGCCACAAAAGAATTCAAATGTTGGCTCAAAGTACCTCGCTGCCGTTTGTTTCGCCGCTAGATAATCGAACTTAACGCGCATCTTTGTTTTATGCAAATCTAATATGTTTCATGAAAACGGAAATTATTAATGTTATTTTTTGAAACTTTAGAGTTGAAAATGTGTTCATCATAGATTAGAAAACAAAACGGTAGGTGTCACCTACCTACTTTGGTACCGATACCACCATAAAACTCTTAGTAAAGCCTAGTAATCAGATACAATCATTTCATATTTTTCCATAAAGAGGTTCACACATCTTCTATTGAAGTTGGAAGCATAAACCTTCTGGCCATGGCGGAAATACTGTTCCA